CCTATAAAATTTCAACGCAGTGTTTCAGAAATTAATGTTAATGCCATGTCACCAGCGACTGCTCTGACACCCCATTCAAATTAAGCCAAGCAATGCATCAGTCCTAGTATTCTAATGGTGAAAAAGGTTCTCGGCCTATAGTCCAGCAAAGGCTAATTTATAATGAATAGCATAATGCAGTCATTGTTGCTGTTTATACAGGGCCTCTTTCTGTTCAAATGAAACTAAATTCTCTCTGAACACCAAAATATTTAGTATGTCAAGAAGCAGAGCTAGCTTTGAAATAAATTACCATTCCAGTGCTTTCTTGTGCATATTTATTATTTGATTGCTATGTAAACAAATATACAATCAGCAAACATATCTAGTGAAGCTGTTACTTCCAGGTGTTTCACAACGTGCTGGAGATAGAAAAAGGTAAGGTGTACAAATCTTCCCTTACTGCCACAGATTTGAGCCTTGTTTAGACCTGTAGTCCCCTGGCCTACAAACTGGTGTTTAGTGAGATCACTGCCGGGCCTGGTGGGTGGCTCACACACCTGTACTCCCAGCACTCAGAAAAGACAAGATGGGAGGATTGCTTGAGGCCAGGAGTTTGATACCAGCTTGTGCAACCATCCGAGACCCTGTCTCCAAGGAAAAAAAAAAAGCTAGCTGGACATGGTGATGCATGCCTATAGTCCAGCTACTTGAGAGGCTGAAGTGGGAAGATCCTTTAAGCCCAGAAGTTCAGGATTACAGTGGGCTATGATTGAGCCAGTGTACTCCAGCCTAGGCAACAGACCAAGACCTTGTCTCTAAAAATAATGAATTAACAACACTTAAAAAAAGAAATCACTGCTTCTTGGGATAATAAACAAGGCAGGAATGTAGGCGTTATCCTGATTTAGTCCTTTCCACAAATTACTTGTGTTTTTCCTAGTTATTTGTCATGAATTTGCAAAATAGAAGAATGTAAAGAAGAAAATATAAAATTCCCTAATCCACCAAAGAAAGTCTACAATGGCTTTGATTAATTTACATCAAAGAATCATAATTCCTTTTCTCTAGAGTGTGTGTTTATTTTGTGTAGTTGAGATGATACTTGTATTTGCCTCTGTCATTAGAAACCCTTGAAGCACATTTAATACTTTGAATGACTAAATTTTGGGGATAAGAATGAAAATTAATGTTTTAATTGTTCCCTGTAATGGAACATTTTGATTGCTGTTTTAAAAATATTTATAGAGGCTGGGTACGATGGCTTATACCTGTAATCCCAGCACTTTGGGAAACCAAGGCGGGAGGATTGCTTGAGCCCTAGAGTTTGAGACCAGCCTGGGCAACATAGTAAGACCTTGTCTCTACAAAAATAAAAAAAATTAACTGGGCACAGTGACACGTGCCTGTAGTCCCAGCTACTTGGGTCACTGACTCAGGAGGATCCCCTGAGCTCAGGAGTTTGAGGCTGTGGTGAACTGTGATCCTGCCACTGCACTCGAACCTGGGCAACAGAATGAGACATGATACACACACACACACACACAATGAAATTTATAGATATTTTATGTCTGTGTGTTTGAAATTAAGTGTGTGCCTTCCTGCTTCCAGAATAATGTTTAATAATAATGGCGATACTAGTTATCTACAATTTATTCCTGATTTTAAAGGAAATAGTTCTGGTGTTTATTAATAGGCTGATTTGACAGGATTAAGAAAATCATAGTAAGTCCTTTGAGTTCTTGTTGTTAAACAAGAGCAAATGGAAATTGAACATTACCAAATGTCCTTGGTGCTACTGAAATAATAATATGGCCTATGGATGTGATACATTATATTAATATGTTTTCTAATGTTGGTTCCCCTTCCCCAAAGTGACTACTGCTGTATTATGGAGCATTATATATTTAATGACTTCTCTGATTCAGTTCTATCCTATTGTATTTAGGGTTTGAATGTATGTTTATTATATGTTGTTCTTTAAAGCCAACTAGTGTGGAAGGGTTAAGACAAGCTCTGTGAATTTCATTCTAGTCTATAAATGGGGCTTGCTGAAAGTGGGGGTGGGACCTCTTTATGTCTAGTTTGCATTTTTTCTTTACCTCTTATTCCAACTGCAATAATTGTGTTTTTTCCTTATGTGAATTCACAAAGTAATTTTATTAACCTCTCTCAAAGCACTCATCATACAGTATCTTACATCAAACTGATCTGTATATGTGTCTTCTGTTCTTGTAAGAATGGCCCATGTCTGAAATTCAAGAGTTTTCCATCCCTTCCCCTAGCTACTAAGTGTTGTCCATCTAGCCTCTCCTATAGAGTCAGATTGTCCAAGCAGTGCTACTGTGGTAGATGGTAGAAATGCCCTTAATTTTCTTATGGACACCCTGAGGTCTCCAAACCAGTACTGTGGGAATTTAAGGAAGGAGAGCAGAAAGCAGTGATTCCAAAGTCACTCTTGTGGGTACTGTGCTTCTCTGTGGCAGCAATATGAGTCCAGATGCCATGAGTCAGCCTCCGAGGGCTTGGGAGCAGACACAGATGGGGCCAGAGCAAAACGCTAAAACCAGCCTTCAGTTTGGAGCAGACACAGATAGGAACCAGAGCAAAGCATTAAAACCAGCCTTCAGTTTTGATCTTCGGGAGCCAAACCTGAAGAGTAGTCATAGTGCTCCAGATGTGGTTCCATTCCAGTTCTGATGGCGAATTACAAAGAGAACCAATTACTTCAAATAATTTTTCCATTAAAGCACATACCAGGGGGCACTCAAAAAAAATAGCATTGTCTTTTGGAGGACAGGCCCTTATAGTACAGGTTTCCCCCCTAGGTATGTGTTCTAGGAACCCATTGGCATCAGTGTACTGGCCAGCACTGTTGTGAGAGACTGCATTTGGCTTCAGTTAATTTTTGGTTTTTGGAGATTCTTTCGGTGTGCTTGCCCATTTCATGGTGGGTGATTTACGAGCGCCCCTGCCCACCCCGCGCTGATTGTTCCACAGTTTTTGACCCAAAACAGCATGACCCCTATACTCCACCCTCCCTATTCACTTGATCTCGCCCCAAATGACTTTTTTTCTGTTTCCTGGATGAAAAAAGTCCTCAAAGGGAAACATTTTGCCAATGTGGAAGAGGTGAAACAAAAAAACAGCAGAAGCACTAAAAACTGTTTTGAGCAGTGGAGAAAGTGTCTCAGTAGGTATACTGCATCAAGTGGAGAGTACTTTGAAGGTGACTGAAGTTTAAATATGTAAGAATAAACACAGTTTTTTATAAATAAATTCTGGGTTTGTTTTGGTCCCCCCTCATACTCTTGCTTACTCTTAACACTAAATACATTCATTGTACTCTAATTTTTGTGAAAAAATCCTTCTAATACTCAATTCAAGACATCACTTCAAAATAATGTCTTTCAATTGTCAATCTTTTCCAGGGAAACCTCACAAAATTCAGGACCCTCTAATGGTTCACTCTCCTACCAACTATAAACCCAGGTCTCACTCATATTCGAATTCCCATTATGCTTTGCACTGTGCTTGGCTTATGGATTGTACTTAGCAAATATTTCTGAAATTAATCTTTTTTCTTACAACTTAATATTATTGAATGGTATCCTTCACATTTATTTAAAGCACAAAAGCAACTTCAAAAACCACATAGGCAACCGGGCTCGGTGGCTCAGCCTATAATCCTGTGCTTTGGGAGCCTGAGGTGAGTGGATTGCCTGAGCCTGCAGGTTCGAGGCCCGCCTGGGCAACTTGGCGAGACCTCATCTCTACAATAAATCAAAAAAATTAGCCAGGCGTGGTAGCGCGCACCTGTAGTTTTAGCTACTTGGAAGGCTGAGGCGGAAGGATCTCAGAAGCCCAGCAGGTCGAGGCTGCGGTGGCTGGGAGTGTGCCACTGCACTCCAGTCTGGATGACAGAGTGAGACTCCAACTCGAAAAAAAAACAACAGAAAAACCACATAGGCCTTTTAACAAATAGTTAGATGTAGAATCACAACCAAAAAACAGTAAATGAAAATTAATAGAATAAATGATGGCAAAAGTTAAGGGGAAAACATATCCAGCAATTCTACTTCTTGGTATACGTATTTATCCAGAAGATACGTACTCAGAGAGATATACACCCATGCTCATAGCTGCATTATTTGCAGTAGCCAGAAGGTGGAGGCAACCCGAGTATCTATTGATGTATGAATGGATAAACAAAATATGGTATATACATATAATTCAGCCTTAAAAAGAAAGGAAATTCTGACACATGCTACAATGTGGGTGAACCTTGAGGACAGTATGCTAAGTGAATTAAGCCAGTCACAAAAGGATAAATGCTGTATGACTCCACTTACATGAGGTATTCTAAAGTAGTCAACTTTATAAAGACAAAAGGAAAAACAGCGGTTTCTGGGGGCAGAAAGAATGGGAGGTGTTATTTGATGGGTACAGAGTCTCTGTTTTGTAAGATGAAAAGTTCCACAACAGACACTAGGATCTCCTAAAGGCGGTGGAGGGGAGCAAGGGTCGAAAAACTATCTACTGGGTACCATGCCCACTAATTGGGTAATGGGTTCAGTAAAAGCCCATATCTCATCATCACACAATATACGCATGTAACAAACCTGCACATGTACCCCTTGAGTCTAAAATGAAATAAGTAAATTTAAAAGTGTTCTGAAGATGGAGGGGGGTGACGGTTACACAACAATGTGAGTTTACTTAATGCAATGAGCTGTACACATAAAGACAGTCAAGATGGTAACTCTGTGTTATATATATATTTTACCACAATTACAAAAAAAATAGGGAAAAGTACACTATTCAAGCACAAAACAAAATGAGAGTCACTAAGACAGTACTTCAACTGATGACTCTTTGAAGTATATAGTCAACTTTCAGACCATCCTTCCAGAAAACGAGCAGTTAGGAGACATTGTTGACCACGTTTCTGTGCAGAAACTAGAGTTCCTTGAAGACAAAGTGAAATGCTGTATTCAGTAATTACTTTCTTTTTTCCTTAGGGTGTTAAATACCACGTTATTTGAAAGCTGGGACATCGTTGGACCTTTCCCTTCCTGGTGGATTTTTAACCTACTGCTGTTGCTAATACAGGGGATGAACTGCTTCTGGTCTTACTACATTATAAAAATAGCTTGCAAAGCTGTTTCAAAAGGCAGGGTAAGCTCAAACTCCTTTTTTCCAGTATGTCTCAGAAAATTTATTTGGTTCCTCTGGATTTACTATTTCATAAAATATATCAAAACTGGTATGATTTCTTCAAAATTGAGTAAAGCCATCTAGAAACACAAGCCAATTTTTAAAATTTTTTTCTCTTTAGTTTATTTGAAAGTCTTTAACATTGCTTAACAGATGATGAAACCCAATGAGAACTGCATTTGTAATTTTAGATTTAGTGATGATATAGTATTTGTTGTGTATTCTCTCGCTCCCTCTATCTATCAACCTTGGTCCTTCTCTGATTATATTTATACTCAATAGAAATTTAATAACTTCTTTCTTTTAATGAGAAGGGTTGCTTGGTACGGTATGCCTGTTTAAACAAACCTTTCTCTCAATTGAAGCATAAATCCATTCATGACTTTCAGCAAGATTCAATTAAATCCTTTTGATTAAAAATGGACTCATGAGGCTGATTCAAATAAAGCTTCCTGAGCTTCAGCTGTGTAGAGCAGAGACTTTGAAGAGCAGAGACTCTGCCCCCTGTGTAGAGCAGAGACTTTTCCAGATCATTCTCTGTGACATTTTCTTACTTGTTTGTTCTCTTCCTTCTGCTACCCTGGAAGGCTGGGAAGTGGAACCCTTTACATGTAAGTTTCTCTTACTTTCCCTATACCTGTCCCAGGTGCCACTCACCTGTTGGAGGGGCGCTCAGCTGCTTTTGTTTCCATGCATATTGTTCTGTCTAAGCTATTGGCACTGACTAGGCTTCGTGTAAGCTATAGTTTCCATTAGCTGCCAGAGACACTAAGAACAGCTCTGCCAGGGCCCTTTTGTATGAGCTTGTATTCTGCTACCTTTTGCATGATCCAACAGAGGAGAGCCATTTCTCTCACTGGTGTTTAACATGCTGGCTAAAAGACAGATCAACCAAAGTGAGGTAGGAGAAACAACTAGTTGGAGAGAAAATCAACACAGTAGGAACAGAGGCCTGAGCACCATCTGTTCACCTGATCTGCCCAGGGTCACAGGGCAGCACTTGACCACTTTGCTCTCATTAAACTCAAGAGAAACAGTTCCTTTCACAGGGAAGTCAAGACACCTAGTCATGTTCTGTGAAGCCGGTTCTCAGCATCAGCCCCAATATAAATCCTAAATATTCTGATCAATTAATTGCTTAAAAGCTAAAGTTCATTTTTCCCTGTGACCTCTCACTTTTTAAAATGAACATGTTTTATTGTTAAAACATTTTTCTTGTCCTCATATGGATATAAAAGTAACCAAGGTATTCAATATTGTCTCGGTGATAACAATAACTAAGGATGCAAGGACACTGTTGGTTAGGTTTCTTGTGTCCTTGAACATCACTGTTTCTTCCAGACATATTATCTGCACTTCATCTCATTCCTTCTACTTTATGATGAGATAAACATTAATTTTATTCCAGATCTCAGGCGACAAAATATTTTAACTACCTTTGCTGCTATTACCTGGGACAGTAAGATTCATCTTGGCCATGAGTTATTTTCCTGTGGGTTATTTAGAGATATTTTAAATTGTCCTTTCTTTGAAGGTGGCATAAATGTAGATTTTTCTAAATGCAATTTAAATTACTCTTACTAAGCATGCAGATGTAAAGTAATCACTCTCTAAAGCTGCAGTTTTCCATCAGCAGCTTCATTTATGACTAATGAGCTTATAAACATAGTAGAGCCTTACTATAATGCTGTCTCTGTGACTCATTATTCTTAAGTCTAAATATCATTATCACCTAGTCATTTTAGTGTCTTAGTATCTAAATCTTTTTGGAGATGGTCTATATGAGTTCAGTCTCATCTCAAGGGGCATTGGAATGAGGTTCATTTTTTTTTTTTTATCACTGGTTGGAATGGAGCAATGCTTCTCAGCTTTTACTTTCTCTTATTTCCACCCACCTGAGAGAGATGATGTTCTCTCAGGTAATGGTGGCTTCTTAAGTTGGGAGCAGTTGGAGTTCAAGATTCTCAAGTTAGAGTGTAATGGTAGCAAGAGAGGATGTGTTGTAAAAAAGTCCCTGTTTAATTCTGGTATACCTCCCAGGAGACTTTGCCAACCTTCCCAACCCAACCCCTAGAAAATCACAAGAGACCAGATTGGGAAAATTCCTATGAAGCGAGACCATCAGATCCCTTTTGCCACTCCATTTAAAAAATAAGTAAATGGTGCTTAGTTGCTCAAAAATCTTAAACCCTGCTGGGTAAAAATGCTTAACCACAAATGAGACTTATAGAGTAGGAGACTCAAATTATTTTTATTTTAAAAACAATGGAGTATTTTCTTAATTTCCCCCCAAATGATTTCCTTGCTGGATAAATAGGATTTTTTTTCATCCCAGATTTATGTCCTGGTATCTACATTAACCATCCTTGTTACTTACTGAGATTGAATGAAGGATTGAAGAAATTTGGCATGATGGGAGCCAATTCTGGGTGATTCAGTTAGTGGATTTACCTCAGGAAATATTTTAAGCTAGACCTCATACAGCAGGTTCTTAAAATGCCTCCTGCTGTCGTTGTTTTATATGTTGTTATGTGACATATAACACAAAATTCCTAATTAATTTTAGCAGGCAGAAAAGAAAAATTAAATCATAAAACAATGCATCACAAAGTCAAATGGGAATAATCTCTTTTAATGTTTGAGCCAGTGAATATCTCCATCAGTATGGTTAATTGAGAGCTGACTTTAAATAATTATCAATTAGACTGTGATCATCAGTAAGTAAGTTGATCAATTTTTACCAAATTCCTATGATGCCATCACAGTAGTACTGTATGTCACATTTTGGGTAATAGTGGGATTCGTGGCCTAATACGTTTTCAATATGGAAGGGTACCGTAAAGGGGTCAACAAGTCCAGCCCTTTATGATGCCTAAATCCACCTACTTTCCTTCGTGACCGACTTTGTTGCCCAAATTGTTTCTCTCCAGTCAAGGAGAACTTGTTACTGTGGCAACGTTCTTATCGTCTTTGATTTTTTTTTTTTTTTAACATTGGGATCTGTTTACCTTCGTGTATGATTGCATGTGCTTCTGAGCATGGCAGACCTTGATGATTTCTTAGGAGCTGTTACACTCACCTACTTGTATTCCACAGGTGTCCAAGGATGACCGAAGTGATATTGAGTCTAGCTCAGATGAGGAGGATTCAGAGCCTCCAGGAAAGAATCCCCACACTGCGACCACCACCAATGGGACCAGCGGTACCAACGGGTATCTCCTGACTGGCCCTTCCTCCATGGATGATTAACTACTCAAAACTAACAAGTCCCGAACAAAGTGAACTGTTTGTTCCTGGAAGTATTTAATAAGTTGCAAATGCAGTTCCTTTCATAATATCTCAGCACCAGAAACAAAAATTAAGATTATCAAAGCATTTTGAATAGCGCACTGCCATGTGTCCTGTCTGTGAATAAAGAAGAATTACCATTCTCTCTATGTAGGCATGCTGTATGTAATTGACACAAGGGAATAGTATTTGCATTTGTACTGTCTTAGAATATTATTTATTTTTTTGTATTTGTTTGTAAATCTGTGGACAAAGGAAGTTTCCTCACTCCTTTTACTCTCTGGGTTCATGGCAGTAAAGGAGGTGCTCCATCAGCTTCTACCCCTTTCTCTTGCTGTAGTCCTACGTGCTATGAGCATTGGCTTACTTCATCACTTAGAGCAAGCAAAACCCAGTGCAAGATTTCCATGCAGCTCAAAATAGGTTTGCTTTCTTTGTGTTACAGTGCCCATTTTGAGATTGCCACTAGTCTCAGTGATCATTTACATAGGATAAGCTAGGTTTTGAATTGTCACTCTTCACAGTCAATTAGCAGTCCAAATGAAAGAGGATGGTTATTGGAGGACTTTTCTCAGTTGTTTTGTATTAAATTGCTTTGGGATAGACTTCATTCCTTATGCACACAAGCCAAGAGTTCTTCAATGAGTGTGATAGCTGGTTGGGGATTAACTTGATAGGTTATTATGGAGGTTATTATTTTTTTCTTTCTATGATGTGGTTATTGCTCTGACTCTGAAAAAAGTTATTTGCTTAAACTCATAGTTATAAACTAAGAAATCACTCTTAATGTTAGGAGTTTGTTCTGTGTTCTGAGAATAACATAAAGAGAGCAACTGATTTCAGCCAGGTTTTACCACCACCCCAAATAATTAGTGCAGTCTAACATCATGAAAGAAAGAAGCTAAGTATATTTTGAGACAAAAAAGGAGTCTTTCAAGAGTTGGCAAAGATTACCTCCAGTGTAAAGCACAGGGCACAGTGAAGACAACAGCAAGATACTTTATTACAGCCAACGTTCTAGAAAAAATCCTATCTAGTACTTGGTCTTGATGTTTTTATTTTGCTGAGCAAAATAAAGTCAATGAGAGAAAGTCTGTTTTACCCTTTGCTTTTCTCCTTAATCATAACCCAGAATGACTTTCCTGTTACCAGAAACTGAGCAGCAGTGCACTCCAAGGCTTCTTTGCTGCTTTGAAGACTTGTTTGGTTTCCAGGAATTTTTTTTCAAATGGAACTATTTCCAGAAAAACAAAAACTCTATTGGACAATGACAATATCAGCAATGAGGAAAATGACTGAAGAATAAGTTTCCATAAGTCTCCTACATGGCAGTGGTATTTATGTCCAGATAAGAAAACCATACATAAGCCAAAGATTTTTTTCTCTTTTCTTCTAATTTCCAGTAAGAGGGAATAAAAAGGATTACAGATACTTACTTTATAAGTTAAAAAGACCATCCTCTAAAACAGAAGTCTAAAGCAAAAATGCAATGATAGAAATATATGACTCAGGGCACAGGGAAGCCAAGAGCAAGATACTAGAGAGAATGCATATCCTACTCAGAGCTATTCACATCCTATTCAATTTTTTGAAAAAAATTAAAGCTTTGTGCCCACAATTTGCAGTCAGTGAGTTAATAGCTAAAAGAATGCCCCCAAACCAAAACCTCTCACTGTAACATTATTTACCTATTTACCAAATAGTATGTTTCTGACATGGTCCATAGGAATAATATGGCTTGGAAATATGTCTGCTTGGTTAGTGAGAAAACAATGTAACAAGTTCTGCTTGTAGAGTATTATTATTTCACTTCATAAAACAGACATATGTCTGGGAGTGTAATTTGTGGATGGTTGAGTTTATAAGACCAATCATAAAATATCAAATGTGCTCGTTAGTCATCAGAACAACTGCTAAAATACAGGTATATAAAAAGTAATACCGAGCATATTATAACTGCAAATTTTGAGAAAGCGAAAGTTTCTGAATGGAAAAATGGAACATATTTACCTTGTGTTAGTGTCTGGGGCAAGTCCCCTTGGTGGGCGAAATGAACTAGAGCACCACAGGGTGATTAAGTTTGGATCATGTGACATTTGTTAGCATAGAACTGTTTCAAGGAGATCAGCTGGTAAATGAAAGGTTTAGAAGAGTGGCATAAAATGAAGTAAGTTGAGTTTATCCTTAGCAAAGGCAAATCTAAATAATCTTTTTTGCCCCCCAGAAGATACATAGAAAGAGGACTGAGAATACTCAGAGCCTCTCTGATAACATTAACTTAACATAGTCTTCTACATATCCGTAGATTTTTATTTCATTTTACATTTTAGGACACAGTTATTTTTGGCTAACGAAGGTAGAGTTTGTAGACTTTTTATGGTGTTTGCAGCCTTCCCACAGTGGCCGAATAAGGCTAAGAGAAAGAAATAAGTAAGGTGTTTCATTCTCCCCCTGTGCCAGGCCATAGCTTTGGAAGTGTTTTGTTTTGAGTCGGAGTCTCACTCTGTCGCACAGGCTGGAGTGCAATGGCACGATGATGGCTCACCACAGGCTTGACCTCCCTGACTCAGACAATCCTTCTGCCTCAGCTACTTGAGAAGCTGAGGCTATAAGTGTGCACCACCACACCCAGCTAATTGTTTTGATTTTTTGTAGAAATGGGTTTTCACTGTGTTGCCCAGGCTGGTCTTGAGTGCCTGTGCTCAAGCGATTCTTTCACCTCAGCTACCCAAAGTGCTGGGATCACAGGCGTGAGACACTGCACCCAGCCCTGGATGTGTATTTTGTAAATTCAACTATAGGTTAGTGAGGGTGTTGTTTCTCATTAATTAACTTAGCCTGTGTGGAAATCTCCTTCCTCCTGGTCACATTCAAACCTTCCTAGGGTACAAAGGGGTACATAGAAAGGACTCTAGAAAAAGAGGTATTTTTATTCTCCAATGATATAGCTTTTCTAGGTCTGTTAGTGAGGGGAAAAAGTAGAAAATCAAGTAGAATTTGGCCTTGGGTCAGTAAATGATATAAAAATGTGTGATCTATGTATGTATATGTATGTTTCTTCAAAAACGTGATGAAACCAAAATATCACTGACTCATTCTTATCCATATTCTTTTCATAAAAACATCCACCATGTACAGAGAAACTTCCCTCCTTTTTTGTCAGCCTCCTCTTCATGTCCCCACATAGCTGAGAGCGGTGGTATCTTTTCACCCTCTTAGCCAGAGAGCAAAGTATGGCAAAGTGCAGGTCATAGAGCACCTGAGGTCGACATATAAGCCAAATACAGCTCATGTTTCCAAATTTAGTCCTATGGATGTTGAGAGTAGAGAAGCAACTATCAGTATTTTGGATTATTCAAGTGTATGTGGTAGAAATGCAAATGGTTGCTGCTTCACCCCAGGGTTTTATGAACAGCCTCCTTCTGCGGGGCTGCCAGACAGATGGTGTCCTGAGGTGCCATCAGATAGATGCCACAGGCAAGAAGCAAGATCAGATCATTAGTCAAATGGAGGGCGAACCTCCACATGTCCAGTTCTGTTGCCAAACTTTCCATTCTGAGTATTCAATAGAGTGAATTTGAGCAAATTGAATGTCTCCATCTTAGGTAGAAAAATCTGAATCTTCTAAACCTTGTTGTTTAGGCTAAGCTAAAAGTGAGATTTCCTTTTGGCTTACTGGGTTCATTGCTAGAGAGAGCTTCAAAGAGAACTTTATGGATACCCATGGTTGTCCCTACTCTGTGATTTTGCATTAATAGTTGTTTTTGTCCCTTTATTGGAACCATAATGCCAAAGTTTCCTGGATATTTTCCTTAATTTGAAGTATATAAACTGTATGGAATAATTCAAAGGGTGTTAAAAGAGTCTGTAAATCAGTATGAGTGGTGAGATCATCATATCCAGAGAGGCTTCATGAACTCCTTTGGAGATAAAAGGTTACACGTTTACATTTCACGTGGTATTTGAGGTCTTAAAGTTCTGATTCGCTTACTTTTTTTCTGTGTCTTTGGCAGCTTTCTGCTTTGTAGATAAATAATAATAGCCCTGAAATGTTTCTTAATAAGAAAAACATCAAATGAAATCAAAGTCAGCCTGCTGGGAAAGTCATCACCTGGCACTTTCAGTTTCCAAGTCACTTGTATGGATGGAAAGAGAAAATGCAGTGAGCTCTAGTTACTGCACTTGCTGTCCAGCGTGTTGTCTGTGGGTTGATCATAACAGTTCTTGAAGAAAATGCAGCAAGATATTTCTTTAAGTGAAGATATTGTTGTCCCTAGAGTCAGTTTAGGTTTCTCTTGCTAAAATGCAATGATGCCACTCTCAAATTACCCCATAGCGATTAGCACTGGCTCATGGGCCCCATTTTAGTTCTTTACACTGATAGGCCAGAAAAGGGCCCTGTGGGTTGTCTTTGTGTGTACCACCCCCTTCCCTCCCCTAGGGGGCACTCAGTGGACGCTGCGGAGGCTTGTCCACTCGCTGCTGTTGGAACCCCTCTGATTACTCTGAGGAAGTATACCTGAGGCTTGTTTTCATGAAGAAAATGGTATTCGAGAACATAAAACATCATAAGAATTGTTAATAAGATCTCCAGACACACAAAAGAGAACCTTAGTCTTTTGTAGTCATTTCCAACTTGAGGTCAGCGGAAGCCTTTGAGAGGAATGCAGCACCAAGTGGCCACGTGCTAAGACCTCATACCAGGCCAAAGAGGCAGTGTCTCTGCAGCCAGATAATGTATGGTATCCATGAAACTAGGCATTCTCAAGATTACCCAGGAAGGGATGGGAGGGGATCATTAGCCTAAGATCTGTTTTGTTTATCTCATTCACTCACATTCCTTTCAGCCTCCTGGAACTCTTGATAAAAGGGAGCCAGGATGTTGTCATTTTTCAGCTGATTTCCCAGTAGCCTATGGAACCGTTGAGTACCCACACTTCCTTCTCTGCCTGATTTTGTTTTTCTGAAAATAATTATTGTGCCCGTGTGTGTGTGTGTGTGTGTGTGTGTGTGTGTGTGTGATTTTTTTAAAACACAGGTCCACAAAAGCAGGGCTTCCTATTTTGGTGTATGTTGCATGGCCTAGAAACCCAGGAACAACAGTTATTGATATGGTTTTTATGTTCAGTAAAAATTAGGTTTCATTGAGATTTTTGTTCTTTTTATCTCCAGTTTTTTTTTTTAAACTGTCACTGAAAAACTGGTCTTTAAAAAGGTAGGGACATTTAAAGATAAGCTGCAGCCAGGCTCGGTGGCTCAGCCTGTAATCCCGCGCCTTTGGGAGGCTGAGGTGAGTGGATTGCCTGAGCCCGCGGGTTCGAGACCCGCCTGGGCAGTGAGACCTCATGTCTACAAAAATCAATAAATCAGCTGGGCGTGGTAGCGCACACCTGTAATTCCGGCTACTTGGAAGGCTGAGGCGGAAGGATCGCCGGAGCCCAGCAGGTCGAGGCTGCGGTGGCCGGGAGCGGCCACTGCACTCCAGTCTGGGCGACAGAGTGAGACTCCAACTCAAAAATAAATAAATAAATAAATAAAGATAAGCTGCAAAAAAGGAACAGTTATGTGATGATTCTGGAACTTTAACCCACAACTTCATTAATTTAAGAATGGAAGACACTCTCCAAGTTTGATTTCCCAAAGTTTCATAAAGCCCCTAAGCTCATGATTTTCCTTATGAGTTGTTTACCTCCACAGCCACCAGTTGTCATGGAAGCGGGTGGTAGTTTTAGGATTTGATTTTTTTCACATTGCAATGAGAACTAGGATAGACGACAAAACCTCACTTGTTTTCTTAAGACAATTCAGTGCTTGAGCATCTCTGTCAGAAATGGAATGATAGCCAATTAGAATTATTTTGTGTATTGTTATTGTGTTTTGCTGATTTTTATATGAAAAGATAATTATTCATTCTTGATCTCTGGAAGCAATCATTATTATGAGGATCATTTTACTTTGGAAACACTTTCATAATAAAGATAAGTATTAAGAAATAGTGTAAGTGCCATTTCCTGGAAGCGCCAACCTGCTCATGTTGGCAACACACGTTGCACCTTCCTGTATGAAATTGTCCAGGGCTCACATCATCCCAGCA